GGTTTACAGTTATTAAGAGCTTTCACCTCTTTCCAAAAATCTGCCGTATTATTACACAGCATTTTCCTGGCCAAAGAATCTGCTCTCAGCATTTGCTCATTTTTAGTTATAAAGCGAACAGCGTACTTATATCTGGCATTCGCACATTTTTTCTGTTCAAATTCTGGGCCTTCACTACATGCTGACCAGTCTAATTTTACACTGGTAGCAATATTATTTCCAGTAGTTGCTGGCATTTGTTCCACATTCACAGTAAAACCAAAAGGTATATGATCTGACACAGTTACCTCATAACTAATAGTCATGTTTGCTAAAGCTGCATGTCCATCAGCTGTACAGATACAGTGGTCCAGCCATGATGTACTATGCCAGGCTTCACGTATGTATAGCTATCTGCAGGCAGTAACACTTTGGTAGACAAGATAAGATTATTAACTTGACAAAAGTGAGTTAAGTGTTTAGCAAACTGAGAACTGCTGTCTGTGAGATCAGCATTAAAATCACCCAAAACATATATGCTGTAAGTATCGTTGTCTTGAATAAATGCATTAATAAAAGCCAGCCTACTGAGGTATTCTTGCTCATTTTGACAAGATTCATAGGGAGTATAAATATTAAGAATGATAAAACTACTATTGTACACCAATACACCAGTCTACATCCAGTCTAATGGGCTTTATCACAGGGTCTATTTTTTTGTCCCAAAGCACAGCAACCCCTCCAGGTATTCTGCCTCTGACTATGGCTGTGCTGAGATCAGTTGTTGATTCCCCCACTCCCAAAAAACTTGCATTTAGACAGTTAAGTTTTCCCAGGTCCTGTTTGGACAACCATGTCTCCTGCAAGCATAAAATGTCACATTCTGCAAGCAGACTGTCCACAACAATCCGTCGAGCTTTGTCCCCTACACTCTGTCTCAAACGTAGACCACGACAGTTGTATGATAATATCCTAATAGACATCTTCATGTTAATACGTTGGTATCGCAGTTATCTCCCCTGCTGGATCCACTGAGCTTGGCACAACCGTACCGGGCTTACGAGGTTCATAAAAACGCCGGACCAGAGCCCCTTCAGGCCAGAGTTCAGGATTGTACATTTCACCTACATCATTACATTCAGCAGTAACCTTGAAAGAGTCGAACCCGCTACGTTTACTAGCAATTTTTTGACAGGTCACATCTCTTTTGAGTTTCTCTCTCAAATACAGAGCAAGAGTTTCTGCACCTACATCCAAATTTAGTGGCAAACACGCTCACCAATTTAGTTTGCACAGTTCTGATTGTACTCACAGCTCCAGTGCCGATAATCAATACAGGTCCAGGCCTCTTATTGTGTCCAGTGGTAGCAGCATGCATTCCTGAACCCGAATTAACCTTCTCCAGCTTGAGACGAGGCTTGCCATTTTTCACAACTTTACTCCATTGTGGGGAGCATGTAGAAAGCACTGTCTCAACAGGATCCTCCGTTGTTGCTGTAGTTTCCATATTACGACCTGACGCTGTCGTCGGAGCCCGATCTTGACCACATAGCAACATCTCCGGACAAAATGCTGACACTGTGCTTGTCCCAGTCCTTGAAGCAGCCAAAGCTCTGGCTTCCTGCCTTTCACGCGGGCCGCCTTTACGTGGACTCCCCCACCGCTCCTCTGCGTGTTTCCCCAGGGGAAAGTGGGAAGCGGCCCCCGACCCCTGAGCATTCAGCGTAACAGGCTCAGCCGGTACCTCAGGCCAACACTCAAGAGCAGTCACACGTTGGTCGACCTCCACAGCATTGGTCATAACTTGCTCGCAGACATCTGCCTGTAGTTTAACTACATGTTTTAAAGCACCCACCTCAGCACACAGCTGGTCCATTCGCCGTAGTAGACAACACACATCCATGCTGGAGTATGTAACAGGCAGCAAATCATCCAGGTGATGAGATACAAATCTTGGGATATTCTCCCCACACTCATTCAGCACTTTAAGACAGAGTTTAATATTGTTGGCGTCTTTATGCTGTCCTTTATATCCAACGCACCGCTGTGAGGTAGTGGGGCAGAGCTCAAACAAAACTTTCTTGGAGGCTTCAATCCCCTCGGATTCAAATGTGTTCGTGGCCAACAACACAATTTCATCCTGACTTAAAGTTTTGATTTTTACAGCAAGGAAATTAAGTAGCTCATCCTCTACAATTACCCTTCCATCAGTTGTTTAATATATCTCTGGTTTTAATCGTGACCGTTTGAAAGTCGGAGCTACGTCTGCACCACCACCTGCTACATCCGCCATCCAAGATCACCCAGAACTTTCATTTAGTTTAACAAAACTAAAATCCCAAACTTACTTGAATTTCTTCTTGCGGAGACGCCTTTTCATGGTCAATGACACTTCAGTTACATAGACCTCCGTGAAATGTGGTGCCATCACCTTTGTAACACCACCATCCCCCGCGCCGAGGTCCAATAGTCTGTCAGTCACCCAGTCTGGCTCGATCCGCATCAGCTGCTGGAACTGGTTCTTGGAAAACACGAACATAGAGCCGCGACCCAGAAACCTAAGAGGGAGCGCAAGTCAGGCAAAGATGGACTACAGGTGAAAGGAAGACTAGTGTGTAAAGAACTCACCCATTAATGGAGGTACGCGATACCAGCGGGCTGAGGACAGTTGAGACGAGAGAATAATAGATTTGGGTGAAGAGATACGTAGACTTCTCTTCACTCTGTTCCACAAAAGCCCTGGTGTCCGCATCCAGCTGGTTTTGGATAAACAGTGGCTGCAGTGATTCTTCCAGTTGGTCAGGGTTGCACCTGTACCACTACACAAGTTTTAGAGAAAATGTGAAATAATAAGGCACAGCTGAAAAGTACAGAAAACATACAGTTGCTGAATACAATCAAGTGAGCATTGAGTCACCGTCATACACATTCTGAGTTCTCATTCAACACCAACCCTGCTGAGTGAACATGCTGTAGCATGTTCTGAAGCACATTGTTCATTACAGTAAGATTATCATCAACAGTCAGTTTTTTCCTTTCAAGCACCACAACCATATTATTCGCCCCGTTTATAATTGCGCAACACTTACAAGTCATCCACCGATACAACCCCGTGTGATTTCTGATGTTTTCAATGTATACTTTATACATTTGCCTATACTGGTGAATATGCTGGGCATAACAAGATTTATGAAGAAGTTGTATATAAAATGAAGAAATGACCCGTTTTGCAAGTATATTTATGACTGTTAGTGCACCTACATTTTAAAGCAATGCAGTTCATATGTTTATAAAACTGTTGTATGTGTTGAAATAGCCAGATCTCCCTTTACAAAACAAAAACAGACATTTTTGATGTCAGTGACACTTGAGCTGATACATAAGCGCTATATATAAAAGTCACTTTGCCAAAAACGCACATATGTCTACATTGTGACAGGAATGTAGTTCGTGGCTCAAAATTACCCTGTCATACCCACGAGAAACTTCTTTGACATCCTGTTCACATATTATAGATCAGCAGCTTAAATACGGGCAATAATTTTTGAGCAAATGCCGGAAATCACTTTGGCAAACGATCACTTTTTAGTCCAACATCTGCACAATTGATTCCAACTTTTCAGTATGTCACAAAGCCTCGTTTTACCCTTTACAGAACCCCCGCAGTCGCGACAAGGACCATTCGCAGGTAACCTACCTTTGTAACGTCTATCGTATCCAGGTCGCTCAGCATGTTCACCAGGAGAGAGCGGACAACCGGATTTCGGATGTACTTCCCGGTCCACATCCTCTTGATTGAGAGCAGAAAGGCGACGTAACCTACGACCCACCCTACAAAGAGCAACTTCCTCAGCTGCAGAGGACACATAATGAATAAAGTCTTGAGCAGAAGAGATGACAGAAACCGAGAGAGAAGAGGCAAAGTGGCCAGAGTGCCGTGGTTAATATTAGATGGTGTTAAAGAGGCGAACAGCAGCCACTTGCAAAGCAGCACGCAGAGGCATGTGTCCGGTTACACGACGGCAAACTAACCTGCGGGGGCAAGCGGAGGATTCAACAAGGCCTGTTACCATGTACTTAATCCCACTGTCAGCTTATTACATTTAACTCAGTGCCATCTGTAGGGTCTCTGCCCAATATGACAACAAAAAGTCAATGCTTTGTCTTCTTTTGGCTTTATTGGAGGCGTTTAAACCGCTTATGCGCGCTTTACCGCCACCCTATGCTTAGGCGTGTCCATTAGACGTGCCAAACCTAAAAAACCCGTTTCCAGCACCTATCACCTCATTATTTAAAACTCAGCATTTATTTAACGCGCCCGTGAATCATTTCCTGCAATATGTAAAAGTTTTCCAGTAGTTTCCTCCCCAAACCACGGCTACATGACATCACCTGTTAGTGAAGTTCAATTTTTAAGCTTTGAGCCAGTGTTCGCTGTAGTCTTGGCACTGTGCAGCCAGGCGTGATGGAAGGCTTGATCTGACCGAGAAACAAGAGCATGCTCACTAGCTAACAAATGGCTGACCAATGAACAAACCCTGGATATGCTTCTGTACTATAAGACTAGAAATGTGTAAATGCACTGCATTTTATTCAACAGCCTGGAAGTAGAAACCAGTCTCAAATGGGAATGTTTAAAGAGGTCAGAGCAAGGGAACGTGGGGCCAGTTTTCCACAGACTCCTGGTATCCTGCAGTCTTTTGACAGAGTCACCCTCCGCCCATAAACAGGAGCATGTTTATGGTCTGATATAAAGGCTGTTCGACTCTAGGAATGTTTCCTCTAGAAATCTAGCAAGGTCTAAAAAAATAAAATAAATAAAAAAAATTTGTCGGTTACTTTCACCAATGAGCAAATATGTGAATTTTTCCAACCAAGCTAGCAGGCATCTAAATAGTACACAATTTTGTCCAAATACAGTTACTTCTGGATCAAAATCAAATGCACAACAACACAGTGGCTATTTCTGTCTTTTTTTAGTTGGCATTGATTATACGAAATATGAAGACAATGCAATGTTGCAAGGCCTCCGTTTCAGATAAGACTGCAAAAGCAAAATGGGGCACTGAAAGAATCTAAAGCAATATGGGACAATTTCATTTTTTAGAATTAAAACTTTAATGCCAACAATTCATCCACTGAACTAAAATGAGTCTCACGTTCCCTCTTGTGGCTTCTCAAACCCTATTAGAGTTTCAGCAATATACAATACACGAGAAGTCTTGCTGTGGGTAACAGACAGTGGAGAAACTTTGATTAACTGATTGAATCAACTTGGGCATCATGTCATAATTCATAAAATATGTGCAAAAAATTTTCTGCAAGAAAACACTCTTCACCAGATTACCTCTAAAATGCTAACGATGTAAAAAAAAAAAAAAGGGTCATTTAGCATCAGTTTGTCATTCTTCTGCAGTGGCTCAAAGTTGTGAGAAGCTTTACTTTAATTTCATTTGTCTTGCTGAGAGAAGCATCTCACAGAATTCTGTATAAAAGTCTGTCTAGACATTGTTTGAATTAGTTTTTATTACTTTAGGTTTCAAATAATTGAAACACAACTGCACCATGTCCTGTTTTGCTGCTCAGGAGAACGTTTCAAGCTTTGCATGGTTAGAACAGCCAGCAAGATGAGTCACATTCCTCAAATCAGTCTGCATGGTTCCCAGTGACTGACCTTGGAAATAAAGAGTTTGTTCATCTCTAGCCTGTTTCTTTCCCAAAGGGAATACTGCATGATAATCCTAACAAGGCCGTGCACACAAAAACAAATTCCACTAAGAATAGTTCAAATAGTGACATTGTGAAAGATATCCCAGATGAATTCACTCAGGGCTTTTAAAAACAAAGCTCAAAAGCAACCTTTTTGAATTTGATCTTCAAATGTCTCCTTTCCAAAGCTAAAAACTGCTGGAAGCTGTCACTCATTTACATTTATATCGTTTAGATAAAAAACGAAAATCTTATAAATAAAAATGTAACTAGAACCCAAGAGAAGTAGCAGTGGAAGCCTTCTTTGTTGTGAAAAAATGTTATATTTTAATTTTTATTAAAGACTATATTCTATATAACATTAAAGTATAGTACAATGTCACACTTAAATTAACAGAAAGGGAAGTGTGCACACCTTTCCTCGACATGGACAAACGCAACCAACAGGCTCTCTGGGAGACATTTCTACAGCAGTGAATGCCAAGGAATTACACGGACTTTGAAAACGCAGCATGTGTTACATACCCCGACGGCGCGCGAAGAGATGAGGCGTTACCTGCACCTACAGAAGTAAATGAATTTCAAAGTCTACTACTACAGCTATTTATTTCCGGGGCTAATGAGCAGAGAAAAAGTGGGCGTGGTTGACCGAACCTGCTGAAGACCACTTGATGCCTTTGACTTCTTATGTGATAATTTTTCTCGTCTTATTTTGACCTTATGCTTTATAACTTTCTAGCTCCTCTTTTCATCTCACAATTTGCCATTCTATCTTCCCATCTGCATGTTTTGTCTCATCACTTAGATTTTCCCCTCATAATTTTAAACAATTTGTCATACCTTCATTTTCTTTTCAGTTTTTCAAAACTCTCACCATTTACCTTTGTGATTTCATAATGATAGTTTTATTTTTAAAAACGCTGATCATTTTAGCTGATCCTTTTAACATGCAAGTCAAATCATGATAATTTCTATAAATCATGACTAACTTTTTTGGTTTTTAACATTTCTGGATTTGGTTTTTCTTTTTAATGGCCGAAATGGACTTTTATACAAGACTGTAAACGCGAGGTAACAGAAAATCGCGCTGCCTTGGATTTGACTAGGAGTAATGTTAGTAGCAGTGTTTCATCAGCAGATGTCGCTACTACATCACCGCTCTGCTAGCTCTCGCTCACTCTTCTCACCAGCAGGGTCCACTGAGGGAAATAAGCTTCTAACAAGACTTACTTAATACTGACTAAAAATGGTCTGAGGATTTAACTCACACTGCCATCACACAAACAGTCAAATTTAAATTCGTCAAGAAAAACAAAACAAACAAAAACAACTATGGCTAAAATAAGCAATTAAAGTATATAAATGGGGGAAATGGCTCCTTAGTAGCGAGAACTTTGCTTTGTAATAATAGTAATAATATTTAGTTTTCATAATTATTAATAAAAAACAACTTTTGTTTCAATATGATGGTCATACAGTAGGCTGGTTACTCACCTCCGTTAAGTTAACCAAACCGAAGAAGGACGCTAGATCGAGTTGTGTAATTTTCCCTTCATAATAAAATCATATAGAAGTGGAAGTCAGACAATCCAAGGGTTATTGCTCAGTGGCGTCAGAAACTGACGTTGAATTTTCCGGTCCGAACATAACTCTGTGCCATCTGATATTGAAAACAAGCAAAAAACAAAGGAAGTTTGACAAGCAAGAATCCAAGACTTGTTGCGCAACTTTACTTTGAAAGTTTCTACCAGAAGTTGTGTCAGTGTTCGCGGGTCTCTTAACGCTGTAAGTCCGTCTCGCGCTACCCTGAGCGCTCTTCTTGCTCGGTTGTGAGCTATCCTATTACACCGCCGTAGTTGAGCAGGTGAGAACCTTTTTCCCTTCTTTAAACCTGTTCATTGTGAACAGACTAAAAAGAGACGGACTCGGTTAATAGAAATACGACAGGATTATAGTAGGAAGGACGGTAGTTGGGACACCTTGATAGTTGAGATTGATAACTTGGCGAACTAGATTTGAACGATGAGAGCAGACGGCAGTCCCAATGAAATGCGTTCACAAGTCGCATGATCATGTTTTTTTCACTTACAGGCAAACAGCTGAAAATGTACGATAACTTTGAACGAGCTATTGGCGTTTTCCAGTAAATTTCCCTGGTCGGCAAGGACCTTGTTTTCATAAATCACCAACTTTCAGGGCTTTTTCCATCCATCTGTGCTTCACGGTGGTGGAAGAGGGTGTTATAGATTTGTGATGTTGATGTGATGCCGATGTTTTGATTTCATAAAGTTCTCAGTTTTTTGTATATTGCATTTGTCCGTTTGCTGCAGTGGGATGTAAATGAAATTGTCCCAGTGAAGAATAGAGGTTTGGTCTGCTTGCTATTGAGCTGAATATTGCAGAGAAAATTAGGTCTACAACATATACATGTAGTATATTAGACTATATTAGACTGAAGAATTTCTCGTACAGTGTAGTGCAACTCAAGGATTTGTCACTTATCACTTTGGTCATCCACGATCACCTACAGTGTAACCCTACTGAAGTAAGCTCTCTATCCACTTTAGGCCAACATGCCAATTTTGGCTTTCTTGTTTACATTCTGCATTGCTCATGTTAGTGATGGGCTGTGCAGTTGTTTCTGCGTGTAGAGGTGCATGGCTAGTTTTAAACCATGTGCATTGGCATCTATTGCTGGGCTACCCTGCTGCATCATCACCTAGAAGTCTGCAGCAGAATAGCTGAACTAGGTGGACATCGTGCCTGCAGAGCACTATTTCATCCAAGACAGCCTCCTCCAGACTCAGATTGTTTTGTTTTGCATACAGACAGAATCTAATTGGACACTGTTTGACTCTGTGAAAAACCCTGTTTAATCTGCCTCAGTGGTAAGTGTAGAAACCCAGGGAGGCTGTCTCTATGTTTCCCTGAGATCAATTGTATGGTCACTTTGTGTCCCCCTAGTCTGCACTTGCTAACCCGCACATCTGTGATTTTGAACAAATTGGTTCTGAAGTGGCTCAGCCTGCTGCTTTTTCTCAGAGAGAAAAACACAACTTTTTCTCCCAATAACGTAAGCTGGCAGAATGCCTGGCATTGCTTCACTGAAAAGATGCTTCCTCTTAAAGGTCAGGGGGATGTTATCAGTGAACGGAGACCATGTTGCTGCACGGGAAGAGTTGGAGATTAGTCGCACACTCCAGAGGGACCTGGCTTCCTGGATCAAAGAAAACAAACAAATGCTGGGTCAAGTTTAAGTCACTTGCTTATTCTTGACTGTATTTAACTACTGAAAATTTGCTTATTGATTTCTTGGAAGGGATTGCATTTTATTTGTCTGTTGAATTAGACAACTTTCTTCAATTAGAGCTTGATAATTGTTTTATATTAAAGGATATCAAATAATGGTGCCATTGTTTATTAGGTTTCACAAAATGCTTACTAACTTATCATGATACCTGTATAAGCTGAGCACTTTTAGCGCTTTTTTTAGTTTTCATTGATGTTTATCTGTTGTGCCACATCACTGGACTTTTATAGTCTCCAAAGAGGTAAATACATTTTCACACAAGTCATAATATTTCAACTAAGGCGAAAAAAATCCATCAGCTAGATTTCCCAGAGACCATGAATTCTCTCTTGATGTGATGAGCAGTTGGAAAAGGAGGACAATATTACTGATGCTGTTTGAGGGCCGCTCAGATTGTATCGTTCAGATCAGAATTTCTATAGAGACAGGAGAGACAAGGGTTTGGAGAAAAGTAAGTGTTGGTAGGTTCTCATGCTAAATTGGGAAAATATGTTGCTTTAACTCATTTCCAGCTACCTGTTCTACTCATCCTTGTATTACTGGCTGTTTGGGGTGAATAGCTGGTTTTCCAGTTTTACCTAATTCACGCATGTAATGAAAGGCAAAACTTTAAGCATGACTCAAAAGATTCCTATGCATCACCTTGCCTTGGACTGGTTTACTGTGGAGTTCATCACCCCCTACAAGGTTTGCCAAGCCCTCCACCTACAATAACCTACATCTCCAACAAGCCTTTAACAAACCTACAGCAGCCTCCAGCTACAGCAAGCCCTCCCATGACCTAGGCTCCTTGCTTGGTAAGGTGTTTCAGGCACGTTGAACTGGGAGGAGACCCTGAGGTTGAACTGGGAGGAGACCCTGAGGTAGACCTGGTTAGACTGGAAAAGATTATGTCTCTCAGCTAGCATGGCCCCATAGAAGCTGGAGCAGGTACCTGGGAGAGAGAAGTCTGGGCTTCTCTGCTCAGAATGCTGCATCTACAACCTGGAAATAGATAATAGGTGGAAAACGAAAACATGGATACAACTCTGGTGTAGACACTGCTTGACTTTGACAGTCTGTTTAGATGTAATGCATTCTCTGTGGCACTACCGTAAACATCTGTGTTATAAAACATCCATGATACGAGTCTGCTCATCCTCTTCTTCAGTGGTTCAGTGTCACTGGCTGGGGGAATCGGCCGACTGCTGATGGTTTCTACAGAACAATGTCAGAAAGCTGTTGATAATTGACCGTTTTTAATATGAAACGGTGCATTTTCTGGGACTGTGTGGTAATGCTCTTTTCACTGGCTGTATTTTTTTTAAAGTTACCGTGAACTCAAAGTGATTTCATTCTGTTCTTTCTTTCCTTTGCTTCTACTTGGCAGTGTCATGGCAGGTTGGGTTGCAGCTGCTTCCAGTTTGTCAAAAACAGACTGTGAACATTACGCTCAGTCCTGCGAGCAAGTAAAACTGCTACAGAGCTTACTGTAACTTCAAATCAAGGTCATCATCAGGAAGCCAAACAGCGATCAGAGATAATGGAAATAAACATTAGTGACAAGAGGAAGAAGACGTCCTTGACCACCTCACCTGATGCGCTGTTCCCTCTAGATGCTGCTCAGCCCTGCATTCACCCGCCTCACCTCATTGCTGGGATTTAGCAGCTACCTGTAGCTGAAAAGACAAGACAAAAAAGCCTTGGCGGCTGCCTGCGATCAGTTTGTGTGTCTGTGGTTAGGTCTGTAATCATGGGAAAAGAACAGGATCTGCTGGTGGCCGTGAAGAGTGGAGATCTCCTGCTGGCTCACAAGCTTCTCTCTAAAGTCAAGTGCAATAAAAGCAGTAAGTATGGAAAGGGTGGGGGGTTGCTTTTGTATGACTATTGTGTTTGTTCTTTGCTCAGGGCCTGGGAATATATATTGTTTACACTGTGAAATCCAACTGAGATAGCAATGGCAGAGTTCCTGCCATCAGTGTTGTTGCTTACTAAACCAAGTGGAGTCTCTTTGTGATAATCACAGGATCAAGTTCAGCAGCAGACCACAAAGCGTGGCCCTCCCTCTGGCATTTAGTTTGGGGACAATTTGAAACTAAGTGGATTCAAACTGCGGCACAACACGAGCTAATCTCCTAAATGCAGACCCCAGCAGCTCCTGCCTCTGGCTTTGTGGGGTTTACGGGGCTTTCTTTGAGTCTTATCTGCTTAGATTTGAATTGGCCGACAAGCAAGCTCTCTTTATAGTTGCATTGTTTTAAATGACAGGGTTCTCCCTTATCCACGTCTGGGGAGAGTAGAGGCCAAACAGACTGTGAAGCTGAAGCTGCCTCTGTTCATGGCGTTATCTGCTCTGGGCTTTCATCAGGATAGTTGGCTGTTCAGTGACAAGTGCTGGGAACAAAGCTGTGGCTGTCAGGAAAAAGCCTGTTATACACTTTGCACACTACACAGGCAGCGAGCATTGCTTTGTAGAGAATATTAAAAGTGATATTGTCTGTCTTTGTGCTGGTGTGTATTTCTGTTCATGAAAAACCAGCGACTGTTAGACTGGCTGAGGCAGTGCAGCAGGGGAAAGTGAATGAGTAATGTTCTCTGCTGTTTTCTAAACGACCAGCGAGGGTGGCCTGTAGCAAGTGCTGCATCTGTTATCAAAATGCAGCTTTGGAGCAAAATACAAAACCGTGGATGTTCATTTACATTTTTCTGTTTTTGCTATGAAGTATGAAATGGTTACATACAAGCAGCCCATGTAGGCTAAACTGTTAACCAGTCATTTCAAAGCAGCTACCCTGCAATGCTGAAATCAGTTCAGAATCAGAATCAGAATCAGAATCAGTTTATTGCCAAATGTTGAGCAGGTTTACAACATTAGGAAATTGCTGCGGTGCTTCAGTGCAAACATAGTGTCATAAATTGCGATTAAATAGACATGAAA